TGTCCTGGTCGTGCGGCTGGGGGGAAGGGGGGGCAGCGGGGCTGGGACCCCCCCGCGGGACACACACACACGCACGCACGCACGCACGTACACACACAGGTAGCTGTGCTCGTTTGCATAATCAAAGACTTCCAAATGCCCCCAATCGCTTGGACTGATGCGTGTGTATGCACCCCCTCACACACATATACACACACACCCTCCCCCCAATCCAAGCGATTGGGCGGCATTTGCAAGGCCTTGATTATGCCCTGGGCTGTGCAGGACAGGACTTTGCAGCTGCCCCCCCCTCCAGGAGAGGGCTGGACCCTCCCTGCGGGGCTTACATCTTGGGGCCCCTTGGTAGGGGCCGGGGGAGCGCGGTGGAGCTGCTCCCCGAGCTGCCTCATGGATGAAAGATTCATTTCTGCACCCCTCCAGCTTGCAGCCATGCCCTGGTGCTCATGCTGTGCCGGATGCTCCCACCGAAGAGGACGGGCAAGGGCAGAGCCACCAGGGTGGAATCGGGAGACCTGGCGAACATCCCTCCACGCGTCAACTCCACTGGCAGGGCTCCGGCACAGAGACATTGAGTCCACATCCTGGCTGAAGCCAACAAGCAAGGCACAGAAGGGAAAAGGAATGCAAATAGATATCGGATTGCATTACAAGAAATCATCCGCTGCCAATGTCACCATCAGCCCCAATCTGCTGCTTTCTCAGAGGGGTCATGTCTGGTGGGGGGGGGCGGAGAAGGGGGTTGAAGGACAGGGCTCCATCATGCAGCTCAGGAAGAGTCTTTCAAGGGAAGGGGAATTGTGGACAGGTCTCCAGCCAGCTCCGTGAAGATTAAGTACGTGGCCTGGACCTGGGCAAACTGTCCCAATCTCCTAACGACCCGCAGTAAAAGTCTTTGTACCTCTGCCTTTCCCCATCATTGTGTCTGGTCTGGTTAGACTGTTCACTCCTGAGGGTAGGAGCTGTGTCACTGCACAAGCCTCCAATCTTGGTGAGGGAGGTACCCTGATACTACTGCTCCTAATAAAAAATAAGGTTACTGCACAGGCAAAGAAAAAACAGCTCCCTCCCCCTCCCCCTTCTGGCCTGTTTTTCAATCTACCAAAGAACCTGCCTCTAAATCTTAGTCAGCAGCGATGTAGGTGGCACTCTGAGGACAGAGCTCTCACGCTCGCTCATCACTGTTCAGATGCAGGAAGGACGGGAGATGGGTTGGCAGAGTGGGCCTGGCCAGGCTGTAGCTTGGTACAGAGAGGCCTGGAGAGCAGAGAAGCAGCATCTGTTTAATGCCTCTGTTGTTATTTACCAAGAAATGGCAATGGTTGCAGCAGTGCTGTTACACAGGCTGCTTGCTGAGGGTTTTGCAATGTTCCCTCCCTCAGTTCTCTTTAGGCTCATGGAAAGACAGCTCTGATACTGCAAAATGATAAAGGTGCAGGGAAGCGTATTCAATCAGCACTTCCTCCAGCCACTCTCCACCTGTCACATGGGGGTCATTATACCTCACACCACACCTGTCAATCCAATGTGGTCAGTATTAGCACCTTTCTGCTACCTGTCCAGGATCTAATCACTGAGTGTCAGCAAGCAGACAAGGACAGGACCCGATGTGCTCTCTGCTCTCTGTATAGGTGCTCACGTGGGGCCTGGCACCACAGCATTTGGTCAGAGGGAGATGACGATGCTGGGCAAGACTACTTTGGAAACTGTGGACTAAGAATCCTTGGCCCAGGGCATTGCCTGGGGCAGCTGCAGAGATTCAAATCCAAAGCTTTAAGCCCAGCAGGCAGCTTGCCTCTGGGGTTCATGTCAGGCCTCATGTGATGCCCTGATGCAGAGGCAGCAGTTGCCCTGGGAACAAAGCAGCACTTAAAAAAAAAGTCACTGTGAAAGGCAGCCCGTGCTGTGTGGGTAGCAGGGTTCACTACAGAACAGGGCTCCTGGAAACTGCCAACAGATGCTGAGTGGCTGCTCTAGCATTCCTCCCAAAATAACATGTCTCTATTACAGGAGTGAGCTTCCCGGCCAGGCTGAACATGCGAATACAGGCTGGTGCATAAAGCTCTTACGCATCATTTGGTTTTTCCTCTGTGGTTCCCTATAACAGGGAGGGGAAACCTGAGACAAGAAAGCAGCAATCACTGCCCAGATGCCCCAAGGCAGCAGGAAGGGGCAGGTGCACAGGCCAGCAGATTTGCTCCGAGTTGCATCTCAGCAGAAACCCGATCAGCTGTCTTGGGAAGGCTGAAAGAACGGATGTGCACAGGGCCATAGAGATATAGATATATTTGTGGCGGTGTTGCATATTTCAGACAACGTTACACAATGCTCCTGACACACAGCTTTCTGGACCACCTCTCTGGAGCAGGTTCCGTATCCTGCGGAGATCCTCCCACTCATGTCCTATCTCCCGGTTGCTTGAGGACACGCAGCACAGTTTGGAACAAGTCCCTCTCCACTCAAAGCAACATCATCCCACAGTCCCAGCTAAGGAGGAGGGGAACAGGGCACAGGTACAAGTCTGGCCTGTCCCCTCACTGGGGCCAGAAGGGAACTAAGGCCTCCCACTGCTGTGGGTCCACTAGCTAAGGAAAGAACTGCTCCAACATCGTGTTCCTGCCAGCATGACTGCCCCCATCTGAAATCAGCAATGGGAGAGGATGATCTTAGTGCCACAGGTGAACCCAAATCAGCCCCTCTGATCCAGGGGAGCCACTGACCTTAGAGAAGTGCAAGTACTCCCTCACTCTGGGGCAAGTGGTAAGGGCCACTCAATGGCCCTTATCAGGCCATGTGAGTTTGAACCTGAACTTCAGACCCATTCCCACTGACCAGTCTCCCCCTCCCCATGTGCTCTGAGTGGTAATACTGTGACCTGGTCAGTCTGCCCATGCCCTTTGCAGTTCAATATGGTGCATACCGGGTCACCCCTGGGACTGTATACATGGGTCACTGTCCCCACCAGTTAAGTGGAAGAAGCCAGGCTGGAGGGTCCACATGCCAAGGTCAGCCTAGGGTTAAAGGCTGAGTGGAAAGGTTCAAATGGGGACATTTCACATGAAACATGGACTCTGAAAACAATGCAACCATTTCAGGAAGAGTCTCCAAGCACCAGGTCCCACCCTCCAGCACTGCAGAGGATGGAGGAGGCGTTTCCTCACCAGGTCACTCAGAAGACCCCCATCACTGGAGCACGTGGACATAGTCTGAGGCCCTTCCCTGCTCCAGCAGGAGCCCTGAAAGGGCAAGGGAGGCTGCACAGAGCTCACTTGACCCTGGGCCACTCATTGTGGAAGCCACATGGGGCAACACTACTGGTCCTGGGAACCCAGAAGGGAACAGTTTCCCAGACCAAGGTCTGAGCTAATGGACATAGCACTGAGCACTGCCCAACCAGAGAGGGCTGTATCAGAGGTATGCATCGCTGAATCCGAGCAGCAGCGAGGGCTGGGCCTTGTGGGTGGGACAATTATATCCCAGTGCCCGGCTCCTGCAGCCTCTGTACTCAAGCAGGCATAAGAGGGGACTGTTGAGTCAAGGGGGCCCTCTCAGCCTTTGGACACTACAGCAGCAACCTGGGGCAAGCCTGGGGCTGTCCATCCCTGTTCTCAGGCCCAGCCTCCTATGAGAAACACTAGCAGACAGGAGCATTTGGCACAGTTGGCCACCCCACACCGGGGAGCCTTGGCACTCACTTGGCTGCTACAGAGACTGGGTTCCAACCCCTGCCCATCTCCCTTTGCCAGGGGATAGTACGAGCACCTCCCGGCAGCCACCGCAGGGAGAAACCAAATCTACCCTCTTCTCTACAGAACCCCCAAGAGAGCAAGAAGTGTTCCAGTGTACAGGGAGGTGGAGACCCAAGGAGTCCCCGCCGGTCACAGGGCCCTTTGTCTCTATTGCACTTGGCTTCTTATATATTTATAGAGATATTTATAAAAATACAAACTAAGGGGTGGGGGAGGGGATGAGATGCAGGCATCGAGCCAGCAGCCACTTCGAGGGCATGGACAAAGTCACATGGCCCAGTTATGGCCCCACACAGCTCCATCCCCAGAGCTCTCTGCCAGCCATCACTCAGGAATGTGGAAATCAGTAGCAGGAGTCCTGATCCTGTAGAAATCCAGCAGGGGGGAGCGAAAGGGTGGGGAAGGGGTGTGGGGGTCACCCAGAACCAACAGACCTGCTAGTCCACCCCGCCTTCCCTCAGTCACCCTTCCCCACCCCAAACCTGAGTCTCAACTGCATGGAGTAATAAATACAGAGCTCCTTCGTGTGCCCCAGTGATGGGCATCCCCTTGTTCCTGGGAGAGGTAGGTGGGACTCTGTCTTAGCACCTCTCCCAAAATACAATGGGAAAGTTCTTCTTCCACCTGGAGGTTCCTCTCTCGTTTCCCTGGGCAGATAAGGTGCAATTTTGCAGGACGAATTAGTCAAGAGAATCCCCCCCAGGCCATGTCGCTTCCCCCAACTTCTGTCATGGGGGATGCTGCTTGCTCCAAATGACCAGGCCCCAAGGCCACCCCTGCTACCTCAGCCGCCCGTCAGGTTTGACAGGCCCCAGTTCCGACTTGGGGTCCGGGGAGAGCGAACTCCAGGAGGTTTTGCTGCAGATCTCCAGGGAGGAGCAGCTGGAGGGGCTGCTCACACACACGTCGGCCACTGACCAGAAGCCACTGATGCTGCTGTCTGTCCAGGCCTCCAGCGCCTTGCCCGTCAGCTGCGTGTTTCGGAGAGCTTCCTTCTCCGCCTCGTCCGAGCGCGGCAGGTTCAAAATCCCGCCCAGGCCCTGGAAGCTCTGTTCCATGTACTCATTGCGTGGGGGACCGGCGTGTAACCAGCTGCTGTCATCTGGACCAGACACAGAGGGAAGAGAAGGTCAGCAGGCAGGTGGGTGAAGTCCACACACCCTCCTCTCAGCACAGCCCTTCCACAAGGCAAACAGGGTCTTGCTATCCTGTCCCATGGCCACAGGAGGCAGGAGACTGCCCCAACCTGACAGGAAGAGGTCACAGAGGGAAAAGAGGAGATGGGATAGGCCAGGTTCATAAGAACGTAAGTGCCACACTGGGTCAGACCAATGGTCCATTTAGCCCAGCAGTCTGTCTCTGACAGTGGCAGAAGTGAATCCTACATAGGGAGAGCATTGAACCTGGTATCTCTATTCAATACTCACCCCTACCATCCACCATTTATTGGGTTAGAGACACCAGAGGAAACATCTCCAAACAATCTGACTGATGGCCATTAACAGATTTATCATCCATTAACTTATCCAGTCTCTTTTTGAACCTGGCTATGCTATCTGCCTCCACCACCTCCTGTGGCAGTGAATTCCCCAAGTTAACTACATGGCCCAGAGCAAGGCATGCTGGGACTCATTGCCTCCCAGAAGATGCTTCCTGACCACCATACGAGGAAGCTAAGGGACACATGGCCAACAATGGCCTTGACTGGCTGGTGCCATCTGTGCAAAGCCAGGCTGTCAAACACTGTTTGGATAGAAAGCTTCTCAACTAGATCCACTCGCAAGGGCCATCTTAGCACAGAGCTGCACTATAAACGTGTGCAGCTCTGGCTTCTCCCACTCACACTAGCAGAGCGTTTGGCTCCAAATCCCCTGCTGTCAGGTGACGGTGCAGGGCTTTGCCTCAAGGTTGCTAATTCAGACCCATATCACTGCTGTAGGGTGGCCTGTGTGAAGCAGGCTGCATGGCCAAGGAAGAGTCCCAAGTACAGCTGGTCCTGCTGTCACTGTCCAGCAGAGACCAGTAACTCACGTTCTGGGTTGTGAGCTCCACTGGGGAGACAGCCCAGCTGAAATGTGGGAGGGCTGGAGCGGGGAATGGGGCATGGAGTCAGGCCTCCAGGTGTCAGACAAGAGCTTCCCTCACCCTTCCTGAGAGGCTGCTTGCGGTTGAAGGTCTGCGGCGCCACCAGGAACTGGTTCTCTCCCAGGGGCTCCCAGAACTGGAGGAGGCGAATGGTCCAGACGCCAGGGCGCAAAGGTCGATTGAGAGGCGGTTTGTACTGCGTGAACTCTGCCTCAGCATCCACTGTGATGTCGTAGGACGTGGCAATGATGTAGGTGGGGTCAATCCAGACCACGGTGGCCGTGAGGTTGGGCCCCCGCGACCATTTCTGCATGGCCACCGGCTCGTCAAAAGGCCCGATCAGGCCCCCGAAGTTCCGAAAGATCCTCTCCTTCGGGTCCCATTCTGTGCCCACCTGGCAGGGGAGGAAGAAGTCAGGAGGAGGCTGGGGCACACCAGGCCACAGCCCACCAGGGGCTGCAGAGGCACCAACCACCACCCTCTTTACAGCATCCCAAGGACGTTTCACCAGGCCTGGCAGCCAAGGGCTGCAGTGTGGTCTCCAGTAGGTTATGAACAGACGAAGCCGAAATAGATTCTGGATTCAAAGGACCAAGCTTGGACCACTTGTACCTGCCCCACTGAGTAGGGACACACAGCCTCAGCCACTTCTGGCCTTGGGCACTCCTGAGGGCAGACGGCCCAAGCATGGAGCACCACATCCAGAATCTCCCACAATCTCTGTGGACAGCCCCCGCCAATCCTGTCTTCCAGAGCTTTGGGAGGGAGGGCTGGAGTAGTCAAGGAAGCAAGACGGATGAACTCAGCTGGGGAGGGCACTGGGAACCTACCTCCAGGTTCTGTAACCGGTTAGATTGTCCTCCGTGACCCGCCAGCTTCAGAGCCCCCCGTGGCATCATCCACATCTCCAGGGACTCTGCCTGACCCGTCACAGAGTTCTGCACCTCCTGCATTACCAGGTAACCCTGGAAACGATCGTCATAGAAATACAGGTGCACGCTGGATGGGAAGCCCCGGGGCTCAAATCTAGAGAGAGAGAAAGAGATGATTAATGTCCCCGCAGCACTGGGATCTGGGCTGACTCCTCTGAGCCCAGATCAAGAGCCCGAGGCCTTCTCACCTGCAGAGTTTCTCTGTCTTCTGCATCTGAGAGGATGTCACTTTCTGCAACCCCAGCCTGGAGAATGATGTGTAGAAGGTCAAGGTGACATCACTGAGCCCACTCAGGCCATCCACCCGGTCGTAGACATTCTCCCAGTAGGCCTTGAGGGCCGGCGTGTTGGGCGGGTAGTTACCATATAGGTGCGTGTCCAGGATCTCCAGCACTTCCTGGTTCACCGTCGACTCAAACTTCCTGGCAAAGAACGTAGGCCTGGAGAGTTGCTGAAAAGACACGGACATTTCTGAAAGGGTCGGCAACATGTCACCTACCGGGGCAGGAGAGCCAAGAACAGGCAAGTGGCAGGAAAGCTGACTTGTCTGTCTTCGCTGTGAGGAAGGCAAAGAGCCTGGCAGGAAGCAAATGAGACTCCAAAGAAACAATCCATCACTGTTCTTTCTTACGCACAGTCAGCAGGTTGGCTTCCAAAGACACGTGGGCAGCAGCAGCATGTCCACTGACGCTGCACCGGGCCCTTCGGCCTGTGAGGATGTCTCTGCTCTCACAGAGCCCCAACAAGGCCAGCAGGGCACTGGCTGCCTGGCCCTGCTCACTGGGTCCTTTGGGGACCTAAGGGGGTCAGTGCAAGCTGGCAGAGATGATTAACCATGCGCATGTCTTCGGCTCCTGCTCACTTGGCAGGTGTCTGTCAGGGGAGTTCAGCACCACAATATTTAAGAGGGTTTCTCCCTAGAGAAGATGTGGGTTTGCTAAACCAAAGCCTAGAGCAAGGGGAAGCCAAGCTGCTTACTGAGCATTGGATTTGTACAGTGGAGAGGGGAATGGAAGTGTCTGTAGGATATGTAGGGGTGTAGGTTGTAGGGTATGTAACTACAGCTCATGCAGACACCCCCGAACTGGCATTAGGCTGGTTGGCTTCGGCACTGCCAGCAGAGCTCAGCATAGACTGACAGCCCAAGCATCTGTCTAGCTTCTGGGCAGGTTTTGCAGCCTGCCGTGAGCTCCAGGGTGCTGAGGTTACAAGGCTATTAGTACCCGAGCTGGCACAGCCAGGTCTACGCTCTGAAGTACCTTGACACTAGCCTAGGAGTGGGGAGAAGGAGAGGGGAAGGTCGAGGGGCTGGAGGGAAGAGAGGCAGGAGCAGGGTTTTCACCTGTAGCCGCAAGAAATCCTGGGGCTTGAAGTCATTTGGGGAGCAGCCGCACCAGTCCACGATGTGCTTGTACTGGCACTTGCAGCCCAGCTTGCGGTTCCAGTTGGTCACCCGCAGGTTGTTGTCAACCAGAGTCTCACAGGCATGGCTGTTCTCCAGGACGGTGTGAAAGAAAGACTGCATGGGCACAAAAGAGATCGCTTGCAGCTCGACTCCTGGCTACAAAGCCAGCCCCAAGACACCTCTCCCAGGCCAGGACCCTCGCCTCGACTCACCTCGGCTGGCAGCAACGTGTAGGTGTAGAACTGGCGCAGCTGGGACACCAGCTGGTCCTCCGTGCGCACCACGTACTCCACGAAATTCCGGGTCAGCGAGAACCAGTCCGAGCCGCCATCCACAACGATGCCCTCGGGGATCTGCCGCTCACCCAGGCGCCACATGTGGGAGTCGCACTCGTGGAAGAGGCGGTCCAGGCCCTGCTTCTTAATGAACCTTGTGGGAGAGGAGGGAAGAGGATGGGCTGGGTAAAGAATGCACTCTCCCTGAAGAGCTCCTCACACCCGCTGTGAGGAGTCTGCCCAGCACCAGGAGAGTACTTCCCTCTCTGCAGTGAGAGAAGGGCACTGGAGTGTCCCTAGCCCTCAAGTGTGGTAATGATAGATCATTAGTACAGCGGAGGACTTGGCCCATCATCAACACAGCTGTACTGCAAGCACGTGATGGCGTAGGGCTGGAGTGCCATGGCCTTTCAGCAGCTTGGGACAACAGCCCTAATCCCTGTTTTCCTCTAAACTGACCCCCACTGCTCTCTGCACCTCACGTCTATCCCCGAGGCCAGTGCTAGCCCCTTGGGGGAGGTGAGCAGCTGTTACCTGGCATTGTCTCGACCATGGGACTTGAGGAAGTTCTTGTCCCGGTACTTGGACAGGAACGTCACCAGCTCCTCGTTGGTCCTGCAAATACAAGAGTTAACAGCACTGGCACAGGAGCTGGAGCCAAGGTGGCCCACAAAGTGCTTATTGAGCATGGCTGAGTTTGAAAGAGCCACTGACAAAGGTCTACAGCTGTTTGATAGGCACAGGTCCAAATACTTATCCCATGGCCAGCACGATGCAAATCTGACCTCCCTGCTGTTCAAAGTCTAATCGGGACAAGGAGAAAATGATGCATTTGTGCATGTGTGGAGGCATGCACATGTTTGTACTCATGTGTGCATGTCTGTGCATTACCCACTACAGTGCCCAGAGGGTCAGGGATGTATATAGCGGGATAAAGGCCTACCAGCCTAGACTCCCAGTGCAAGTACCAGGAAGCAGTCTAGTGGGCACGGCCCTCCTTGCCAGGGAATGCAGGTGCCACTGCCAACCGTGCTTGTCCCTTTGGCCTCTTCTCCTTTCCATCTCTTCCTCCTTCCCACAGAGATGCTCTCCGGCATCTCCCAGACAGGCAACCATGCCAGGTGCCAGAACATCAACTTCCTGAAGTGGCCGAGGCCACAGCTGCAAACAGCTTTTCCCCTCCCACCCACTCCCCTGAACTGGCTGACCTGGTTGGGTAGTCGGTGGCGCTCAGGTTGATGAAGAAGTCCCAGGGCCACTCAGTCAGCTCCAGCAGATCCTTCATGCTGCGCAGGTACATCTTCAGCAGGCTGGCACCGCCCCAGATGGTCACCATGCGCCAGGGTGTGACCCGGATGTTGGGGTAGTGCTGGGCCAGCTCCACAGCCTCACGGTGCAGGTAGTTAGAGCGCTGCAAAGGAGAGACTCCAGCTCAGGCAGGGTTGGGCCTCCCAGGGCACTGGCTTCCAGCCCCAGGGAGTCCTAGCAGCACCGTGACAGAGGAGAAGACCCCAAGAATTAGCCCGAGCTTAATCTGGGAGGGGCCGAGCATCCACTGCACTTGCTGATGAGTTGCAGGTGCTCAGTGCTCCCAAGAACTGCAGTGTGTGCTACCTGAGCCCATTCCCACAGGGAGCACCACTGCCCCATGGGGAAACCAGTCTGGCTGGTCTTCAGGCTTTCCTGCCCATTTCAGTGCCTAGTCTCTGCGCTGGACCCTGGTGAAACACTGACCTGGCTGCCTTCCACTCATACACACAGGCTCCAGTCCACTGGGACACTGGGGACAGCACCAGACCTTAGCCCATCACCACCAGCAGGCGCAGGGCTTGGAAAAATCCAAGCTGAGAACAGGCATGCCTGAATGGGAGGCTGACAGGGCAGACCAGGGTGGACAGCCTGCTCTGGCAGCCCAAAAAAGACAGGAACAACTGCCGAGGCAGTCTGCCCATGCCTCCTTGGCTGCTGCCACAGCACCCTGCACTTCCCACTGGCTGGGCTGATGCCCCTGTGCTGGGATAGCAATGAAACGCTACGAGGAGCCAGATCTGCATGGCAGCCATATGGTGACCATGGACTCCCCTCAGCCGTGCTGCTGGGCTGAGAGCAGCAGGCTGGGACATTGCAGCTGCCTGGGGCCAGCATCCAGCCTCCCAGCACTGGCAGGTCTCACACCCACTCTGCACACTAGGAGCTGATCCACTTGGCTTTAAGCTACGGGGCAGGGTGAAGCTTTATCTCCAGGCAAGCCTTTTGCATGGCAGCTGGACTCTGCCAAGTGCCTAGGAGACAGAAAACCAGGAGAAGGTTCGAGTGTCAATGTCCCCTCTGGGGAGAAGGGCGAGCCCACCCCTTGTCCAGCTGGATGCAAACGAACGAGATGGTTGGCCATTCACAAGGGAGGAATCACTGGTGAGAAAGAGGCCCAGGGACCAGCTCTCTGCTCTGAGGAGGGCAGCACAAAACCTTCTGGGTGCAAGTTGAGGCTCCTGGGAAGGGCGGGATGAAGGCAGGCAATCACAGGTGTCTGAAGGAACAGACAGGCAGGAGGAGGTGCATCACAGGCCTCCTAGGTGGACAGGCCAGTACTGGATGGACCCAGAACGTTTCTCCCGAATTCACAGTCCCTGCCACCCTCATGGGGAAGTTGTGGGAATGAACAGAGCGATGCTTCCATGGCAAAATCTTTGCTCAGCTGCAATCTGGGCGAGGAGACAGAGAGCTCCAGTCTCGATGAACAAGCTGCTAGACCCCAGCAGAGGAGCCAACCAGTACAATTGCTTCTTCCCTCCCTCAGACATGGCCTCCTGCCATGTCCCAGCAACCATGATCCCCGCATGCCTCCCGCAGTCTCTTCTTTCTGTTGCACTGCGACTCCCACCCTGACTGCCTCCCATCACCTACCTTGTCGACGTGGATGTAGAAGAAGTGCTGCTGGTGATACACGGCCTTGATGAGCCGCTTCAGCTGGCGGATGGCCCTGCCGTGAGCCACCAGCATGTATGCAACGCGCACCGGCTTCTTCACAGGGGTCTGCTGCATTCTGCTCTCGTCCCACTGGATCACGGGGCTGACTTTCCCTATGGGGAACAGAGGGGTCACACACTGAGCCAACAGCTAGGCAACAGCCAGAGGAAGGAAAGCAGCCAGTTCCCTTGGGTAAGAGGTTCCCAGGAAGGCTGAGAGATCTTTTACTGCCCCAGCCCTGCCATTCCAATGTTCTCAATGAACCAGGAGAACCCAGCCAGGGCTTCATGCTGCACCCCTGTAGGATGTGAAGCACCCTGCGATCATCCCCTTCTAGAAAATGGGCTGCATCAACCGTCTCCTGTCCCAGTGCTGACAGGGGGCTGTGAGCAGACAGAGCACAGCCTGCTAGAACATGGGCTGCTCTATGTTGGCTGTGAGCAAGGTGCTCCCTATTGCCCATGAAGATACATAACTGTGGGCTGCATTTGTGATTTCCCTTTGCAATCGCGCAGCAGTCTGACTCCATATAGACAAGCCAGCCTTGTTCAGAGGCCAGATCCTTAACTTAAGAGGCTAGCATGCATTACACTGGATGACCTGCACCCCCTTGATCACACATTAAAGTTAAGGCATTGTTGATGCGATTTGGTCTCTCTGACTCCGGACTAGGACTAGACCAGAGGGTAGGGGGCACTGGCAAGGACCTCTCTCAGAGCTCTGCTTGCGATCTGGGGCAAATCTCACCTGAGAGCTGGCAGTGCCGGGGCACAGAGCGTGGCATCAGGTTCCCAGCCTGGTGCAGGCACACCACGTTGGCAATCTCCTGCTGGCACTGCTTGGTGCTGGCTCTCGCCAGTGCCGAGAGGGCATCCTTGCCTGTGATCTCACACTTGGGGGTGAAGCTGTTCTCGGTGGGCTGAGGGGCCCCCTCTACACTGCCCGTGTCACCGTGCTGGAAGATGGCCAGCTGGGCGTCCCCACGCAGCACCGTCAGGTTCCTCCGGCTCGATGAGTCCAGCATGACAGGGAGCCTCCGTCCAGGCTTGTGTTTCACTGTGACTGCTCTCACCACCTTGGTCACCAGCACCCCAGGACCCTCCGGGCGGCCTTTCCATCTCCCGTGCTTGCGGCTAGCACTCCCACGACGCCCGGCTGAGCTGTCTGAGTCTCGGGAGCCCTCGCTGTTCTCAGGTAGCCGTGCCTTCTTTTGCCGTCCCTTCTCCACATTGGATTGGACACAAAGGAAAGGGTTAACTTCTCAGATGCGTCACCAAGTTGCTTAAGGAGTACCATGATCAACAGTGATCAACCTGCTTCACCGTACTCTACAGACACTGACCCAACATCATACATTCCTACTGAATACATGGGAAACTGAGGCACAAACCCCCTGACCCCGATCTCCCTTTTATGCTGCACCATTTATACAGAGCAAAACAAAGGCACTGACTGCTCTGAGGCCACACAAGAAGCCCATGATTGAACTCGGGAAAGAAGCCAGGAAACCCTCAAACCAGTCTCTTGCTCAATGTACCAGTGTTAGCAGCATCTGTGCAATGCAGTAAGTGACTGGAGAGATGACAACATACACCTCAACTTTGTTTTTAGACTCATAGATTCATAGACATTAGGGGCTAGAAAGGACCTCGCAAGATCATCGAGTCCCCTGCCATAGGCAGGAAGTCAGCTGGGGTCATAGGATCCCAGCAAGATAAACATCCAGATGCCTTATGAATAGGTCCAGAGTAGGTGCTTGCACCACCTCTGGGGGGAGGTGGTTCTGGACCCTGGACAAACAGACTGTAAAGCAGTTTCTTCTTATGTCCAGTTGAATCAGCCTTCCAGGAGTTTGTGGTCGTTAGACCTCGTTATCCCACGGGAAGCCCTGGTGAACAACTGTTCTCCCAAGTCCTGATGCACCCCCACCCTTATATACTTTCAATGTGCTGAATTTGTAGAGCAGGGACGTTTCCTCTGTCCCTAGCACACACGCTGGCATGCTTGTTTTGCATCTGAACACCCACACCCACCACCGCGCATCAAGTCTTATGAGTGCAGGGCCTCATTGTGCTAGGCACTGTACATACACTTAGGAAGACCACTGCTTCTCATAAGGCAGTCTCTTCTTTCATCTAGCTGTAAAATGGGAATAAACTTGCCCAAGTTCACACACAAGTCTGGGGCAGACCTGGGATTTCAGTGCCTTAACTACAACTGCACTCTTTTCCGCACACTAGTAATCACTGATCTTTGCTGTTCTGTATTTCCTGTGTACTGTACAAGTATTGCATGTCCCCATGCACCCAAGAAAGGGAAGTAAGGCATTTGGGCACTGTGGTGATAAACAGGCTAGCGTCTTTCCTTTCCAATACTGCCAACTGCTCTCTCTGCTGGCCTTGGGCATACTGCTTTGGTCATACAGCACAGCCATTCTGCACTAACCTGCTTGCTCCCTTTTGCAGTTTGGACCCTCAGAAGCTGCTTTGGGAGCAGGGACAGAGAGGGAGCTGGGACGTCTTGCTGGCTCAAGCCCCCCACAGCACGCTATGCCAAGGAGCCGGGGCCAAAACTAGAGGGAACCGTTAATTATGCCTCATTATCTCTACCAGGCTGGCTCATTATCCAAGCAAGCTGACACTGGAGAGGGGAGGGGAGGGGAGGGGAGGAAGCTTGGGTGGCATGGTCTGGTGAAAAGCAGCAGAGAAAAGGCAGCAGCAGGGTGGTGGAGAAGAGCCTGGAGAAGTCTCCCTGCTTTCAGATACGGGATGCTCCTGAAGGTAGGACACCAGGACCGATGGCTAGGTAGGCTGCTCTGGTAGGGCCCTTCATGTGTGGGAGCTACCCGCAGGCCTGAAAGTGCAGAGCTTAGGGGGGCAGCTGGGGCTGTGTATGGGGCAAGGTGCAGGCTGGGGAAAGGCTGCAGCTGGTAGCACTCAGCACACCGAGGAAACAACGGAGTTGGAGCAGGAACCTAAGCTTGGAAGCATTAAGAGCAAGAGACACAAGGTGAGTCAGCAGCTTCCCTGGGCCCCTCCAGCCCCAGCGAGTCAGGCAAGCCGAGACTGGAGCCACCAAACCTCCTTCCGCAGGCTGGAGCAGACAGCAGCCGCGGGCTGGTGCTGCCTGTGCTTGCAACAACCGGAAGATGCTTCGACTCCACAGCAGCATCTGTCCCAGCATTTGCCAGGCCTGGGCAGGTACTGAACTTGTGCCTGGGTCCTTCACTCTGGTCTGGCCGACGGAAGCTGGACATTAAGCTTACAGTGCCACTGCTGCTGCAGTTCAGCCAGTCTTCCCAATGCTATCCCTCAGTGCAGTGCTTGGGATCCAAGCATTACCCCAATGCCCCTTGCCCCAGCAAGGGGGCAGGATGCTTTGGGACAGGAGCTCTGAGAGACCTGGAGCGCAGCAAGGCAGCCACTGCAGGAAGTATAGAGAGCAGATGCACCAGCCCATCACAAGGACTTCGTCCCTTGGTGCAGAAGCTGGGAAGAGCAAACCGAAGGGAGACCCAGGCGCAAAGGAGAGGCTTGGACACTTCGACGCTTGCAGGACCTGGAGGCACAAACCACAGTCCCTAGAGCAGACCTCACATGCTAGCAAAGAGCATCTCGACTGAACAGCTCTGTGAGCAAGCCAGCTTGCCCCCTACAGCCATCACGTGCCACAGCAATGAGCAGAGGCCGACCGACTGGTCAGCTTTTAACTGGCTTCTGTCAGCAAAGCTCGTGCAGCAGAGAGGTCTGGGCCAGACTCAGCCCTTCCCAGTCTTCCCCTTGGCACCCGCATCACAGGGAGCCCAGACTGGGCAGAGAGAACAGTTCATTAGTCACCACGCTGGCCCATCTGTGCAGGGAGTTAGAAACCTGTTTTCTCCACACAAGTCATAGTAGTGGCACAGTGGGGAGAAGGAGGACAAGCAAGGAGCAGAGCCACTCCACGGTCTCTGGCAGGCTCACCCTGTGCTTCCCAGAGAGAAGAGGATGGGCACCAGCCAGTGAAGCAGGAGGCAACCCGGGCTCTTGCAGCAGCATGGAAGGGGAGGGGCGAGGAGCACGGACAGAGCAGCGGGTTTTGCAAAAGTCTCGTCCGCTCTGGTTTTTATTTTCCTGTCCCCCTTTAAGGCACTGGGAGCAAAGCAGCTGCATTTACTCTGAGATTTCAACTCCCAGCAGCTGCTGTGAGCACGTCTCCATCACCAGCCATGCCCCCCCTTGCCCAGGCCCTCGGCCTCTCCTGCCCAGTCGTGATGGGCAAGGCTGTTCCTCATGTGCAATTCTAGCAACAAAGCAGGGAGCAGAGACCTCCTGTCCGTCCTCCTACAACGCGCCTCTCAGGGCTTTTAGGCACAGGTCTCACATAAGGCCCCCGATTCATCTCAGTCCGCCTCCCTTCCCCTGGCCCACTCCTGGCTCCCCGCCCCCATAGAGGGAATAATTAAAAGCCACCTGGTCCCTCCTTGAGCTGCCAATTAATAAACCCAACGGTCCCTAATTACTGCACCACCCAGAAGCAAGCCCTCCAGCCCAGTCTGCAAGGGACGCAGAGGAGACTGACTCCAATCCCATTATCTGTATTTAAGGCTCGTGCAGAAGTTTTGGCGAGGTTCCCAGGAGAACTCGCTGCCCGCGCATCGCTCCTGCCCTCCCCCACACAGCCACTTCCACAGCCCGCCAAGAGCTCATTTCTCTATTCCCTCCCGCACCTTCTGGAGCGAGCCCTCCTTCACAGACACCCGGACCCGGGCCAGCCTTGCCGCAGCGTAAACAGGCAGGGAGCCTACGTCACGGGCCCCAGCGCCCGCTCGGTTGGCGCGGCGAGAGTGCTGACAAAAGGACTCGCTCTCAGCCGTGCTTCTAACACATCCGTCACCAAGGTATCTCCCAGCCACCTACAAAATCCAGAGCTGCGAGGAAATTTCCCACCAGGGACTTCCTTCCTTCCTCCCGACTGACACAAACGATGCTGCAGTGACAAACAGGGATGACTAAGGAAATAAATATTTTGGCATCAACTTGCTATCTAACAATGATTGCTTTTGCCCTTTCTATTCCCCCTCTCATCTTCATCTGCCGGGGTCGTCGTCTTCTCGTGTCCTGCCCGTGGTTGTTGATGGCAGGTATTTAGCAGAATTCGCAGATTTGTTACTCCGACAGGGCCACGACGCGAGTGCTTGTGCTATGGCCGTTCTTGGGCGGGGGATTTGTTAAAGGGATAAAGGGCTCTGTTTCCCACTGACTCTCTGCCTGCCTTGCCTGGAAGATCCCCGTCTCTGACTGTACGGGCAGACAGCACCCAACACCCTGGGGTCCTGATCACATTTGGAAGCTCCAGGTACCACTGGAAAGCAAATCGTAATAGCAGACCTCCATGAATCCAGATACTCGTCGCTATTCTGCAGCACAACTGATTTTTGCCTCCCCTTCTTGGTCTGCCTGATTTGAAATACGTGGCCTCTGGGTAGCAGCCAGCCCTGGGAGCTGGCAGAGGATGGGAGCGTTGACGGGCACATGACCACTTGCCGTGCAGACTCTGGAGCAGAGATCGCAGGCACGTTTCCTATCCAGTTGGCAGCCTGTGGGCTCCGAGGGCTCGATCTGAGTATGCCAAGAACGAGGGGAACAACTGAGCTCTGCTCTCTCCTTTCTCCCAGCGAGAAAGGCCGCGGGATTCTCACACAGGCCTGTTTGCAAACAGAGGTTTTTGCATCCTTGAGCTCGAGGGAACTGGCCAGCTTGGAAACCCCGCCTCAACACAACCCTGCCCTGAGCCACGGGTGTCACCAAGATGCATTAAACAAAGCAGTTTTGAAATTTAATTGGGCTTTCAGCCCTTCTTCCCCACCACTTGGGTGATGGAAACAGGACCTGCTGTCCAGGTTTCCTGCACCAGTGTGGCATTTGGGTTGCAGACACCATAGGGGACATGAAATACACATAGAGAAGAGAAAAGGCCACTGAAGAATTTAAAAAAAAAAACAAAAAACCATGCTGAGATTTTCCAAAATTGCGTGTGGGATTTGGATGCCCAAACTCATACGACTCTGAACACTTGAACTGGGCTGCATGGGCATGTCTACACAAGACATTTACTGCACAGTAATTAGCTGTGCAATAAATGTCTTAGCATCTACACATGAGCTGCTATTAGGCTGAAGTAAACTCATTTACTCTACAGCAGGACAGTACCTGTAAATACAAGAGTGCCCTGCTGCAGGGTTGGTAGTGCCCTGCTGCAGGGTTGTTTTTTTTTTTTGTGTGCAGCAGCACTCGTGTAGACGCTGCTCCGACTGGCTGGGGCACGAGGGTGCTTCAGTGCGGGGGGCTGCCTGCCGGCTAGCCCTGCACTGAAGCACCCTTGTGCCCCAGCCAGCTCCTCCACAGCACACTGAGCAGCCGGGAGCAGCCCCAATCCCACGACCTGGCTCAATGTGCTGCAATCCTGGGCACATGTGCAGACAAGCGCCCAGGAGCAATAAGCCCTGGAGTTTGTTGCTGCGCATTAATAGGCATGTGTAGACTCACTCACTGTCTCTCTAACACAGTTAAAGCTCTTTGGGAAGAATTCAATAGTTGTGTTCAGAGCGGTAGGACAGCCTATGAAAGTTCATGCCACTCTAAATGAGTTAGTCTAGAAGATACCACCCTGCCCTGCTTTCTACAGTAGCTTTAATGATATGCAATGAGAACAGGCCATCTTACAGGGAGCTTCTCTGATCCCCTTGTGATGCGCACCATGGAAATGCTTAGGATGGAGAGGCGTTTTGATCCACGCAGGCACGGGATTAAACGTACAAAATGAAAAATGGAAAAGTACATGAATCAGCTACAAGGATCTTCACCACCCCACCCCTCAAACTACAGCTCCTCCTCTCCACCTACAGGGATATTCAGAGGTTTCCACAAATCTACTGCATGTTCAAGCCTGAACTACACCAAGGAAGCCAACCTCTGCCATCAGGCACAGGGCACAGCTCCTACCAAGCTTGCTGGGAAACATGCACATACATCCAAGGCCAGAATCTGATTGCAAGAGGCAGCGTACCTCTGGAGAACAGCAAACAGAGGGAATGCCAACTATCGGTAAGTGCAACTGTCCAGAAGGAAGCAGTGTCCATAGAAGGATAAATACCAGCAAGGATCAGAAATAAGGCCCTGGGGGAGCTTTATCCAGGGATTGGGAATAAGTTGCATGGGCTTTAGGCTCCAAGTCATTAGTCTAGACATCGCCCCGGCTGCTCAGTGGTTCCCTTGAAATGAGCTGGCTTGTCAGGCTCCCAGGAGACAGGTGTCACTGCCTTGACAATCTCCACTGCAGGTAGTGCCCGACTAAGCCAGGCCTGCACAGGCTGCGGAGTGTGCCCTCGCCTTTCAGCCCACAGACCTTCTACCGCAGCAGAAGCACATAGGCCAAGTGACCATGCAGATGTGGCATGGAAGGCATGCAGGACAAGACAAAATGGGCATTTGTAAGAAAGGGAGACTGGATTCCAGTTGGCACTGTACTCCTAGGAAGGACAGGGCTGTCGCTCAGCCCTGGCCAGCCTGTGAAGGGACTGGCAACAACTGGCACAGCTGCAATAAGGTTTTTGAAGCTGCCCACTTGAAGGGCAAAGCAAGATGACTCGAGAGTCCTTTAGCCCTCCCTACCTGCAACCTCAGCCCTGCTCTGAACCAAGCAAGATGAAGTAGCTCGCCTAAGGCAGAGAAGAGTCTGTCCCGTCTCCGAGGGCGCTCTAGTGCGATCGACAGCAATTGGGTCCGATTGGAAAAGCTGACAGAGGCAATAAGGAGACGTGGCTGGCCATGTTAGCCCAGAGTCAGGGCAATGGAGCACCTCAGCGACTAACTCATTCAGAGAGGCAGCCAGAAAAAGAAGCTGCTATCTCTGCGGGAAGGGACACAGCTCTGGGGACTGACCTGGGCATCGTCTGAGCAAGCAGACCTGCTCCCATCAACCTCCAAGCCAACAGATGGGGAACCAAGCTTGGAGTGTGTTACCAAGCATGTTATCCAGATGTGCTGAGATGTTTGAGGCACATCTCCGGGACAAGGAAGAGGTCGAGCAGCCCCCTTTCCCCTCCCTTTGGGAGGCAACGTGCTGCAGGAGCATTGGTCTGTCCTCATTTATACATGTCACTGTGAGGTCTGCACAAAGTCTTCCTGGGAATATCTTTAGGGTCTTTTTCCTCTCAGCCATGCTGCCTGCCCTGCTGTCTGTAAGTGGCGAGGAAGGTGGGGCTGAATGTGCGGACAGACTCAAAAGGCCAGCCATCTCATTGAGTTTGTGCATCAGTTCTCCAGCTGAAGGCTCTGTTATTTGCTGTATCTTGTGTCTCCCTATTATCTATGTGACACGTTCTCTGAAAAGACACAGTAAAGAGTTGAGTAGGAAGGAAACGGATATCAGTGGAGGCTTCCTGCCAAAAGAATGGCAGCTATAAGCAGCTGCTTGAAGAGCAGCTAGATGGCAAGGAGGGGAAACTCAGTCTTCTCTCAGAAGATCCTGGTTTGTGTTTGGGCGCAGGCTGAACATCATCCAAGTCTTGCAGCTGCAACAGACAGCAGAATGATCCTTCCAGCCATGTGCAGACATCCTGGCCAAAGGGAAGGGAAAGGGCAAGGCTCATTTGAGTGTCTAAGGGGTTGTTCATACAGGGTAAGCCAGTGACACAGATACTTGAGCTGGGTCTTGGACAAGAAGCACTCTGTACTAACATGGCTATACCCATTACTTAGGTTAATTAGCTCTGCAGAGCAAGCACAGCACCCCGCTAACATGGCCATGCTGCTTCCAGGTCCAGAACTAGAGCGTTTGGAGCTACCTGGAGCATCTCTATGATGCTGCCTTATGCTTTGTGGACCCCAGCATGGGGCATCTCTTCACAACCCTGCAAAGCCAGCTCTCCTGGGACGTCCTAACAGGTCCTGGCTTTCAGCAACGACCCAGGGCAGTTCTCTCCTGCTCTCAGTCAGATCACTCCTGCCCTCAGCTCGTGTTCACACCATGCAGGAGGAGACCGTGAGACCAATGGACTAATTTCTCCTCTCATCTGTATGCAAGATGCCCGGAGGCATCAGTGAAACCTGCCAACTTCCCAGCACAATCTTGGGACGTATGGGTAAATCGTGCGAGGAAGTTCCAGCCAAAAGGCAGGGCCTCCAGGGGGAACACAGCCTACGCGTTCCTTTCTGAGCAAAGGCAGACAGGGGAAAACATTAGCAGTCGAGGCCTCCATCCCAAATGCTCTGAGCCCTTCACTCAGCGAAGCTTCGCCGCTTCCCCTTTGAGCTGGGTTTGTAACATTCCCATTTCACAGATGGTCAAGTCACTCACTCAAGGTCACAGGAGTGAAGGAGCCAGAAGTACAGCCAGGACTGCAGCTCAGGAACTCCTGGTTCCTCGGTTCCCTCCTCTCCCTCCCTTGTCACCAACCTCTTAAGCATCACAGGCATTTCTCCTCCCCTCCACTAACATTTATTCCATACCTTAAGTGGAGTCTTTCTGAGTCAGAAGACTTCAGAAGCCGCTCGGTCCCCGGCACGTGGTGCCATCAATACCGCCTGGTAAGTGTGGCCCACGAGGGGTCTCGCTGCCTGCCCACCATGTCAGTCAAGTTGACAGCACAATTCACCAGCAGACACTCGGCACACTGCGGAGAGGGGGGATCTGAGACCACACACACTCTCCTCCCTTCTCTTCCCAGGAAGCCTCCCAGAGCTGGCAACTTTTCTTCCATAAAATACTGAAGGCAAAGCTTTTGCTAGGCCTGGGAGAGGCAGCTGAGCCCCGGCAAACCCAACTGCCCCTAGCCAGACAAGTCACAAAAGCCACTCCACCAGGAAACGGGGAAACCAGATGTAACCACATCCCTCATGGCTATGACAGTATGATGCACCTGTCCTCTCCGGCTCTACCCACTCTTCCTCAGTGCACGAGTCAACTCCCCGGCCTGCCTGCTCCTCGCTCCCTGTCCCAGCTCCTGCCAGCACACGGGCCCCCTACCCCCATGCATCACCACTTGCCCAAGGATCTGGGTTGACAGGCACAGTCCTGGGCCCCCTTTGACCAGCAGCATCAGCACAGACAGCAGAAGCCCTTCCCTGTGCCCACCCTGGCTGAACGCGCTCCAGCCTTGACCATCTGGCCCTTACACAGAAGAGCGAGGCCGCTTGCCCCAGGCTGCACAGATGCGGGGACCACGCTGGGTCCCTGCCAGGCGCAGACGTGGCCTCGAGGCTGCATGGCCCAGGCCTGCGTGCCCCCAAAGCACGTGCGACGCCTGCAGGTGACTCGCGCTACCTGGGGGTCAGGAGCTGAAACACGAAGCACAGCCCCGCCGCAGAGCTGCTTCTGGGGTGTGACCTTGAGGGAGCCACTTCGCCTGCCCCTGCCTCGGCTTCCCCGGTGCAAAGCAGGGGGCACTGCCAGGTGCTGAGCGCTTCGGAGAGGGGAGGCTGCCCCGTCAGCCTGCACCAGGCTGGACACCCA